CAAAGTATGCTTCAATGAACACCAAAGACAGTCCTGGATAAAGGCAGGAAGCAGTGTCCTTCAAAAAAAATCAAAAAGCCTTCCGAAGCTAGGAGCCTAGCCAAGTGTAGAATTTGGTGTGAGGTCTGGGAGTACTGAATCCTGCTATTTCTAGGCAACAAGCCCCAGCAGGCACCTTTACGAGCCTCTGTTCTTGAAGGCCACAGTTTATGAATCCTTTTCTCAAACTGGGCCTTTATGAGATACTCCAGCTGCTAGTCCCAGAGAAAGGCCAGGAAATTTGTCTATCTAAAAGGATCAGGAAGGGCAACTGAGGCATGAAGGAAATGTAAAGCTGGAGTAGGGATAGGGGCCAGGACATCAACCACATGTGATCTCTAGAGCTCCTACCACTCCCACCCCCACCCATAGCCTCTAAGCATCCTCGGTTACCATTCCGGTCAGGCTGAAAGGCATTTCTAGAGCTTCTGGAACCCTCCCTACCCTCTTGTAGAAGGTAATGTTCATACTCCCTGATCTTCTCAATTCCTTCTTACTATTTGGTCTGTGTGTGTGTGTGTGTGTGTGTGTGTGTGTTGCTTGGTTCGAAGAATTGTGCCCTCAACTCACTCCAGAGTCCCCTTGCAAGCCATGCTGGAACCACTCTTCCTTGGGTTTTTGTTGCAAATTGTACCCATTATGGGTGGAACTGTGTCCCACAAAAAAGAAATCCTCAGTACTCCAGAATGTAACCTTATAAGGAAATCAGATTGTTGTGGATGTTAGTAGTTAAGATAGTGGGTCCTTAACCCATTGTGACTGATGTCCTCATGAACGGATTTGAACACAGAAACAAAGAGACATAGGAAGCTGGCCATGTGAAGATCCAGGCAGAGACTGAAGTTATGCTGTTATAAGCCAAGGAATGCCTGGGGCTTCCAAAAGCTGGAAGAGGTAAGGAAGGATCCTCCCCTAGAGCACAGCCCTGCCAACACCTTCATTTTAGACTTCTGGCCTCCAGAACAATGGGACAGTAAATTTCTGTTGTTAGGAGCCACTGCGTCTGTGATCCATTGTTACAGCAGCCCTGGGAAAATCACATAGCACCTTTGGCTTGGCCAACTCCCCTTCCCTGGCCAAGTTTCTTTCACATCCTTTTCTGGTCTCCCTGGAGGCACTTTCGTAATAATTATTTGCACACAAATCCTGACCTGAAGACAGGAATGAGTGTTGATTCCTAAGCCCACAGTCCTTTTCTTTACCAACACTGGCTGTCTAAGGAGCAGAGGTCAGGTTGAAAGAGCCAAACATGCTATAGGGATGAATGGAACAGCCCAGGCCCTGGGCCACAAGAGGTGTGGAAAATGTTCAATTAAGCCATAAGTCAACTGTGGAAGAGCCTGGGCAGTGTCAAGGGTGCTGAAGGAGAAGTTTCCAAATCATCACTCTGCTGTATGTAAACTCTCCTGGACCCTTCCATTATTCAACAAGAACATTTGAACAATTTCTCCAAATACAACATACCCCCAGGTGCTGTAGAAAATCCATATTCATCCTGGGAGAGGGGAAAAGGGGCTTTGACTGCTAACACTTTTAAGTTCTTGTGGTTTGCATGAAGGCAGTCACTGTGGGCCATAAATACAGCCCTCAGGCACTGTGGTGCGCACCTTAGCTGTCTAAGGCTACCCTCAGCTCTGCCTCAGGAGTCCTGACAGCCTCCTCACCTACACCACACAGTGGCTGTGCTCTTCGGGGTCCTACCTCAGATCACTCCAAAGCCACATGCTGGCTAAGGTCCTTTAAAACTCAGAGATGTTTAGGTCAGAAGGAACAAGAAGGTGTATCTATTCCAAGCCCTTTTTAAAAAAGATGGTAAAATGGAGGCCCACAGAGGTAAATAACTGGTTCAATGTCAAGCAGCATCAAGTCTAAGATTCTGGTATATTGTAAAACTGTGGATTATGCAGATTTGGGTTTGATTTCACCTGAGCAACCGTGGGCAGATTCCCAAGCTTTCCTGATTCTCTACTTCATCATCTATTAAATGATTCTAATAGCCTCTACCTCTTGGACCATTTCAAGGCATTAAATTAACCTATCTCATCTTGGCATAATGCCTGACATTTACCAATGAACAGCATATGATAAGTGTACTTACTAAGTGTTAGCGCTTATAACAATTATTATTATTATTATCCTGGTGCAAAAAGGTGATTTTATTAAAGCACAGGGACAGGACCCATGGGCAGAAAGGGTTGCTGCTATAACAATTATTATTATTATAACTATTCTCTAGCTGACTCCACCTTATTAAACAAAATTCTGTAAAGCATTACTTTCTTATATGTCTAAACCAGGAGTCTTTAAACTTTCTCTGTAAGAAGCCAAATAGTAAAAATTTTAGGTTTTATAATACATATGGTCTTTGTCACAATGATTCATCTCTGCCACTATTGCACAAGAGGAGACATAAGCAAATGGAAACAAATAGGTGTGGCTGCGTTTCAATAAAACTTTATTTACAAAAACAGGTATCAGGCCAGGTTTGGTCTACAGCTATAGCTTGCCTGCATCTGGTCTGGGATTATTATAACAGATGATCACACTGATGCTTCTGACACAAGGCAAGTACCTTCAGAATTGAGAAAAATTAGCAACAACAACAACAAAAAACCCTTATGGGAATTTAGCATAATTTTAGTTAAAATATTATTTTATAGTATTTTTAAAGTTGATAATCCCTGCCTAATAAAAATTTAATCAATCAGAAATTTTATTTAGAATGGCAATATTGGGGCACCTGGTTGGCTCAGTCTGTTGAGCATCCAACTCTGGTTTGGCTTAGGCCATGATCTTGCAGTTGTGAGATCAAGTCCCCCATCAGGCTGTACTCAACACAGAGTCTGCTTCAGATTCTCTCTCTCCTTCCTCCCTCCTGTACTCTCTCAAAATAAATAAATAAATAAATAAATTTTTTAAAAGAATGACAATAGTAATAATTAGCATTAGGCAAATCATTTTAAAGATAAAATCTCATTTCACAACAGCTCTGTGAAGGAGGCATTACTATGTAACAGTTCCATTTTACAAGTAGCTGAGGTTTAGTGAGGTTACATAAGTTGCCCAAGGTTTGTGGTATCTAGATACCACAGTAAAAAAGCCAAGATATGAATACAGGGCTGTTGGACTCCAAAGCCCATGTTTCTATCCCCTATTCTTTACTGCCTCCCACTCCAGGGCCACACCAAGAAACTGGCTTTACTATGCAGCAGTGCCTCTACTAACAAAGAATGTTTATTCAATGACACACATTTGTCAGAAACCGCATCACTAGGGATATCAGATAGGCAGAAAGTAGGATGCCAGGAACTAAGGATGGTGGAGAATATTATTAAATATTACAGTAATGTCAAGTGTAGCTCAAAACACAGAATATGTATACAACTGACCATTGAACAACATGGGGGTTAGGGGCACGAACCCCCATGCAGTTGAAAATCTATGTATAACTTTTGACTCCCCCCAAACTTAATTACTAATAGCCTACTGTTGACTGGAAGCCTTACTGGTAACAGAGTAGATTAATACATGTTTTACATGTTACATGTATTATGTATTATATTTTTTAAATTTTTAAAAAAATTTTATTTATTTATTTGACAGAAAGAGATCACAAGTAGACAGAGAGGCAGGCAGAGAGAGAGGGGGAAGCAGGCTCCCTGCTGAGCAGAGAGCCTGATGTGGGACTCGATCCCAGGACCCTGAGATCATGACCTGAGCCGAAGGCAGAGGCTTTAACCCACTGAGCCACCCAGGCACCCCTATGTATTATATTTTTACAACAAAGAACACAAGAGAAAACAAAATGTTATTTAGAAAGTCTTAAGAGAAAATACATTTATAGTATTATATAGTAAAAAAAAATTGCATATAAGTGGACCCACCCAGTTCAAACCCATGTTGTTCAAGAGTCAACTGTACATAGGAGTTCCAAAATGAGGCAAGGGAAGAAATGGGTTCAGTTTAAGGGGAAGAGAAAGAGGGGAGTAGAGGCAAATGAGTCCAGCGCTGGTAGTGCAAAGGTCTGAACCAGTCTAGGTCTAAGTAAAGAGAGGTGAAAAATTAGAGAGTGCATTACCTAACTATGATGTGTTTCAATAAGTAGTTACTGAGCACCTTTTCTTTCTTTCTTTCTTTTTTTTTCCTGAGAACCTTTTCGATGCTAACTGCTCTTATGCCTATTCTAAGTACTACAGAAAGGGGGTGGTGTGAGGAGGAGGAAGAGGAGGAAAAGAAAAACAGACAAAAATCTCTGTGCTCAAGGAACTTGCATCCAACTGAGGGAGAAAATGAGGAATGAGAAGATCAATAGAATGAAAAAACAGTAATATTTATAGAGAAAAATAAAGTGGGAAAGAAGAAATCCCTTGCCTGCAACTCCTTGACTAAGAATCACAGAAAGTATTTTATTCCAACATGCGATATAAAAGATGAGTTTGCCTGGAAACAGTAAAATGTTTAAAACTACTTAATTGAAAGTATAATGAGCACTTTATTGATAAGTATAAACATCAGAAATTTTCTTAACTGAAGATTCACATGGAAGGGGGAAAAGGAAAAACATGGAAGAATGAATAAGTGCAGGCTGGGACATGGTCAATACCATGAAAGGGAAAACTCAAAAGAGAAGTTTCTTTCACTGAGGACAAACATGGTTTTTGGACAGTTTTATATGGCTCACTCAGACCAAACAAATACAAGCTGCTTGTAGAACTTCTAGGTGTATGACTATCTCATATGACTTTATGAAGTCTCTGCTTTTCAACACAGGCTTTGTTCCAAAGGAAGTGTATTTCAAGGGGCTCATTAATTACCACAAGATTTTGGTCTCCTCACCATAACCTATAAAGCTCCCACTTCATTTTCATTTGGACCTGACAGAAAGAGCAATCCTTGAGGGGGTCTTCCTGGCCAGCTAGTTGGGACCAGGCATCGAAGTAAGACGTTGACACTCTACTTACACTTTTCATCAACAGCCGGAATCCTCAGCGTGGCCACCGGAGATTCCCCAAGAGAATTATAAGAAATCACATACACCCAATGGGTCTTGCCTCCCAGATGCAGTTCATGTGTCTGGTTAGTGGTGTTCACTGTTTCTGTGAGATTAGTGTTGCTTTCTGGGAAGTACCATATCCTGTAGCCAAGGGCCTTCTCCAGGACCGGGGCTCCACTTGCCTTCTGAACCCAAAGGAAACAAAATGTATTGCCAGAAACAAGAAAAGATAGACACTGAGATGGTAATAAATGGTGAGGTGAGGGGTGAGGGGTAATGTTAATTATTAGGTGCTAAACTGCAATTAGGTCATCACCCTTCTAGGATGAATAATACACCCTGTGCTGTAACATGAATCCTTCAAGGGCCAAATGAGATTTGATAAATGGTCCCTTGGTATCAACCCTTAACAGAAGTGTAATTCCATGAGGTTTAACTAGGAGAAGGTGCAAGCCAATGTAAGCAAGTCATTTTGATGCTTATCTTTCTTCCCCTCCCACAGGAACAGGACAGGGCAGTATAAGCTAAAAATGTGAAGCAGTCCCTCCAAGAATCCCAATTCTGTTCTGGCCCTGGGTCATCTCTTCTCTGGAAGCTTCCAAGGGTTGGAAAGTACCTGTGCTGCGACATAAAAAGCAGCATGCCACCTCCTTTGAGAAAGGAGCTAGCTTCCCTGGACCAGCCATACTGGATATCCCAGCTAAGAGGCCTAAAACATTCAGGGTTGTCCTACCAGTCCTAAACCTGTGGTGAGAAGCCTCAGGGGACCCCAGAGATTCCAAGCCAGACTCTTCTCTTCAGCCTTGAACCTGAACCTACTAACCATATGTTTTTGCCTAGTGATCACCTTGCTGAGTATTTCCCAGGAGTTATAGGGCTTTCCAGTTGTTTACTCTGTGTTACTGACAACACACATGGATGGAGTAGAATGACTGAATGTAAGGTCAGACAGGACTTTAGAAGTCACTTTGTCCCACTGCCTTTCCAGTTCAGGAATTGACAGATACTTCCTAATGACTGGGAGGTTTTTATCTCTTAGGACAATGCATTTTCTTTTATAAACAACAGCTTTATTGAGATGTAATTCTGATACCATAAAATTCACTACTTTAAGGCATACAATTAGGAATTTTTTTTTTAGTATATTCACAGAGCTGTGCAATCATCACCACCATTCAGTTTTAGTCCAACCTTTTTAACCAAACTTAATTCTTAGAAACCTCTCCTACTGAGGCAAACAAAACAAAAACAGTCCCCAGGTGAGGGAAAGAAAGAGGAAGGGACTCAAGTCCATTTCATGAACTTCACATTCACATGTTGGCCTACTTGACCCAACACTCTGTGGCTGACCATATGCGGCTATGTGCCATTGTTTGCTTTCCTTCCCCCAAAATATACTGAGTGATTTGTTCATCCTTAACCACAAAATGGGAGTCACACAATCTTGATTTACAAAGGTGTTCCAGTGCACCTGGCTATGCTCTCCCTGGCCTGCTGCCTCTACAACTTAAGGGGGCCCCAAAGTCCTAAGGGCATAACTGGGATTAGAATATCATCAGTAAAAAAAGTGATTTCTCCATTTTCAGAAGGATTTAAACTTGCCTGGACTTTAGCAAGCATGAAATAATATGAGTGTTCCTGGAGAACTCTGGACACTACTGAAGAGTTCTGACATCTTGCTGCTCTCCTCTTCTTCTTCTCCCCTCCACAACCCACCCCCATCTTTTTCTCCTGGTTCCTGGCTGGGTTTTTTTTTCCCCCTCATATTTGCCCTTCTCTTTTCCCGTTTATTCCCTCTTCCCCTCCTTTTCTGTCCTTTGTCTAACCTTCTCTTCTCCTCTTTTCTCCATCTCTCCACATGATGCCCACACCTTCTCCTTTGTTCCTCAATCCCAGGCCTCCACCCAAGAAAGCATCATTTGACCCGTGTTCTGTCCTTATATCCCACTATACCAGTAGTCAAAACATATGAGCAATATATGTTTTCAATGACCCGAGGCCACATTAGTGAGCTGACCCCAGGTCAGTGCTTTTCTCCCATGTAGGGGTGGGTGTTATACAATATTAAACTGCCTTCAAATGCAGCCAGCCTGGGGTGGTGGGGGGTGGGAGAGGTGCGGGGGGGAGTTCCCCAGAAGGTCAAGATGCCTCCTGCACTTGCACTTTGTACCTGTCTTAAATGTTAATGTTCAGATCAAAGAAGAGAGGGGGCAGGGTCTGTAAGGTGTATTTAGGCCAACTATAAGATGACCTATAAGGCTTTGTGAACTGTGAAACCACAGTGAGATTTGGGGCATTATAAAGCCTCTAGGGAAGGAAACAGAGACGGTAAAATTTCAAGAATTACAGTTACTGGATGTGTAAAAAACCAATGGTTTTAAACAGAAACACAACAACAAAACTGTAAGGTGGTCACCTTCCACATCAACTGCACTGGCCTTCTTCCATTGACCTTCGGTGGTCTCAGGACTCTCCACAGATCCAGGCCATAGGGAGCTGTAAGGAAACAGAGTGAGGTGCTCAACATAAGAGAGAAGGGACCTGAAACAGAATTTGCTGAAATTAGCTGGGTTGACTATTAGAAATGCAGTTGGGAAGGGTTTGCTGGAGGAAGCCAGGAGAAGTAAAGCAGTCAGTGGAGGGATGGCCGCACTGCAACAACCCACAATGTCTTCATTTTGTGACCAAAGGATTCACATCAACCAAAAGTAAAAACTAAAACTGCTCTTAGATCCAATGGCTTAATGTAAGTTTAAAAAGTACAATAGGAAGTACCGTAATATAATTTATAACTGAAATCTGGATTGAAATGTAGCATCTCATGTCCTCTAAGATATAATATCTATAAACACTAAAGCTGGGAATGACACAGATAACTAATAAGGAGATAGATACATAGATAGAGATATTATCTATACCATTCCAGGGTGAGAAAGGGGGAGGGAGAAAGAGAGAATAAGACCTACTCCCAAAAATGTTAAGATGTTACAAAATATAACAAAGAATTAAAGAAGAAAGGAACAGAGAAATAATCTTTGCTAGGCCATAGGTCATTACCTGAGCTTTAAATTTGATGCTGATCTTCGTGGCAGAAAAAGCAAAAAAGGTTCATATTGAATTGCACGTTTCTCATAGCCTGACAAAAAGCAGTCATATGAAGGAGCAAATGGCTGGCTGGGGAATGAATTAATTAATGGAATTTATCATGGGGATCCTCTTAAAAAGACAATGGGAAACATAAAGGCCAATGTCTGCAATCACAGCTGAGCAAAATTCAGAAATATGACATACGTACTTTTTTCATATTTCTGTTCTATAAAATGTAAGGGCATAATGTTATACCTGATTTACACAGTTCTTCCATGAATAACATAATCCAAGACAATATAGTTCAAGTGTGTTAGCTTCTGAAGATCTGATCAGACAGGGATAATTTCAAAATCCTGAGTTTCTAGTTTAAGAATGACTTACACATGTTAGCCAGGAGAAGAAAGCAGATAATTCTAAAAAACTGTCCAGAAGGCTAGTGGCCTGTAATTTGGAGAAAGAAATGTCTCTAATTGAAGATGCAGTTAATGAACTCTGAATATTTTTTTTTGAGGAAATCAAATGGCTGAAGATAATGTAAGTAGGTCTGCAGAGAATGGAGTCAACCACTCAGGCCAAGAACTAAACAGCTTTAGTACTAACAGACTGTTTCCAGGTATGTGAAGTCACACTTTGGGTGACTAGGTGTCTTAGGGTGAAATTATTGAACTCCAAATGAAGACAACTTCATAATGTAGAAAAATGAGCCAAAGGTCAAGTAAGTCAATAACCTGTTTTATCATCAATGGAGAGTCACATTTCTACAACTACTCTTGCAGAAGCTGGAAGTGAGTAAAACAGTTTAATTGGTAGGCCCTGATCTTGATGAGATCTAATTCTATGTAAGAGGCATATCAGGAAATCAAAACTATTTAGACTTTAAACTTGACTTCATTTGTGCTCCACGGAGATAACTGTCTTACTGTCTTACAAGCTCTGTCAGAAGTTATCTGATTTCCCAAAGAAATCAATATTCTTCAATATCACTGTCTTCAAATAGATTCTTCAATAAAGAATCAGAAGACAGACAGCCTGTACTCAATTTTCTCAGAGAACAACCTATCTACAAGCCAATGAGATGTGAACACAGAGTTCCTCCGGGCAGAAATCTCTAGCACAAGGGCCCAAGGTCACGAGACTTCACAGGTGACCCATGGAATTGGAAGGACTATCACTCCATCTCTCACTTGTAGAGTCTCTCCATTCCAGTTATGTTCAGTCAGACTCAGGGATAATAGCACTGACAGTAAGAAGCAAACAAATCTAAAGGTGAAGTGTGTATTATAATCCAGCCCCAAATATTCATCTGAAGGACAGAGACAAAATAAACTAATTATTAGATAATCAATCATTGCAAGGACTTGGCTAGAAATACAAGTGAAATTCTTCTTGGATTTATCCCATAGGCAGTCATCTAGTTGTAGTAGATGGTGATGGTAAATGTTTTCTTTTTTCACTGAGGCCCCTATTTCCTGCAGATAAAGGCCAAAGAGGAACCATCTTCCCAATATCAGCTTCCCACAGATGCAGCTTTTACTAAAACCATTGCCCGAGTTGCATGTAAATCTTCTACAATGAACAGAAATTTCCATTAACCATGAGCTAGTTATGGCTTTGCAGTATAATCAAAGTTAGAAAAGTAATAACTCAGTGTGTTTGTAAGAGCAAAATTAAATTTTTCCAAATCCATCGAAATATCTACATATTCAAAAGCATCAATTCTTTGAACACATTAGCAACAATTTGATGCTATGTTGCTTCCATTACAGTCTGGGAATATCCACAACTACCACCAGTCAGACACCTCAGACATGCCCTGGTGCTTTGCTGAAGACCAATTAATAAGAACAGTTAACTTTTAGCCAAGTGTCACTATACTAAGCATTTTACCCGATTTGCCTCATTTAATTGCCACACCCTTATAATTAGGCATGGTAGTAGTATCATCACCATTTCTGAAACACAGAGATGTATGTTTCAGTGTTATAAGATTTTAGGTAATAAAGCCAGGATCAGAATATCAGAACATAATTACATCTGTGTCCTTATATGTTTAATTGTGGATAAATCGCCCTAATAATCAATCTAAATTGTAAATGTAAATTAAAATCCAAATGAAAATAAATAATGTTTCATATTTGACTTAGAAGAGAAAATTTCAAGCAATTAGAAATGGTTTGAGGCGGTGTGTATTAAATAACTGGCGTTCCATTGTGAAATAGGGAAACAAATTGTTTATGAATTAGAAAATGGGAAATTAGGATTTGCTGGGGGCCAAGGGGGTGCGTCTTCATCAATTTTCTCTGGGATCCTGAAAAAAATGAAGAGAAACAAAAGCAAAAGTTCTACAGCGGTGACTTTGATAAGTAAGTGGTTGATTTAATCAGCCCCAAGCACAGCCGACACCAGCATCTAGGGCTCTGCTAATGAATTCTAGCCCAACTAGCCAAAATAACAAATCAGCTGAAACAGTAAATCTTGTTTCTGGCAGCAAAACAAGTGGATGAAACAGAAACTGACATGAGGGAGTGGCTGGGCTGTCATGAGTTAACAGAAGATCCAGAGCCACAGTGGCATGAGGAGGCCACTGGAGAGAAGACTGCCAGCTATAGGGTGGCAGGAGGGCAGTGCAAAACAGGGTTATACCTGAAGTAGAACCTAATCTCTTAGACCATCTGCTAGAAGGTGTAGCAAAGGCAGAGGACACGTCACTCAACAATACTACATGTATTGCCTTCTAATCCTTTAAAAGGGAGGGCTCAGTTAAAACAGACAACAACTGACTACTCCTACAGATTATAACCAATGGGCCTTTTTTTTTTTTTGCTGTGTAATTTATGTGCTGTTTAGTATTTGTAAACTATTATATTTGTATTCATTAAACACTTTAAGGTGATGTCTATAGAATGTAAATGTGTTCCCAAATATTGTATGTAATTTTAATCAAAAGTTACATGAGATCCACAAACTAGTTTTCTTTTATCATGTCTGCATTTCTATTGTTGTAAAATTTATATAGCCCTTACCATTTGTAAGGTACTGTTCTGAGTACTTAGGCATAAAGATTTGGTATTTTCTGTGATTTTTTTTCTTGGACTGCTAGAGCCTGGCATAGAAAACTAGATGCCTGAGTGGCATAGATGAATGGAATCTATGGGTGAGAAGAGCCTTTAGAAATTATCTAGCCTGGGGTGCCTGAGTGGCTCAGTTTGTTAATCCTCTACCTTTGGCTCAGGTCATGATCTCAAGATCCTAGGATGGAGCCCCACATTAGGCTCTCTACTCAGCGGGGAGTCTGCTTCTCCTTTTGCTCTCCCTCTGTGTTCGCATTCTTTCTACATCTCTCCCAAATAAATGAATTTCAAAAAAAAAAAAGAAATGGAAGTCATCTAGTCCAATTTCCCATGTGCTGCATGAACCCATGTTGTATAACCACATCCACCAATGGGTAGTATAGACTGAACTAACATGAACGTCTCCAGTGGGAGCTACAAAATTCAGAAGATACTGGATTATTCCCAGACATCTGATCATATGGGCAATTGTGCTGAACACCTCTTAGTACCAACTTTGTCTCATAGGAAACTCAAGCAAGATTCAGAGGAATAAATTATTGTCAAATGGACTAGGGAGCACAGAAATTGATTGCAAATGTTACCTGAAACTTGTGTGGCACTTGGCTGTAAAACAGAATAAGATTTAAGAGAATATGACTGAAATTATGGCCGGGTGTGTGGTTGGGGGAAATTCAGGGAGAGTAAAACTTCAGAAGGTTAGAAGGAAGAACATTTTACATTTCTTCTCCTTATTACAAAAGATGTGCGAACATACCAAGAGTTCAACTACTCATTCATTCATTCATCGTGTTAGGCTGAAAAATATACCCCAAGGATCTAAGTCCTAATCCCTGCCATTGGTAATGTTACCTTGTATGGCCAAAGGGACTTTGCAGATGTGATTAAATTAGGATCATAAACTGGAGATTATCCTGGATTATCCGGGTGGGCCCTAAATATTTTCACAAAGGTCATTATAAGAGTGAGGCAAAGAGATTTGACACAGAAGAGGAGAAAAAAGTGACATGATGATGGATGCAGAGATCAGAGTGATAGGTTTAGTAGATGAGGGAAGGGGCCAAAACCCAAGGAACACAGGCAACCACTAGAAGCTGGAAACAATAAAAAAACATATTCTACCCTCAGAGTCTCTAAAAGGTAACAACCCTGCTAACACCTCGACTTTAGTCCGGTGAAATTGTTTTGGACTTCTGACTTCCAGAACTGTAAGAGAAAAAAATTGTGTTGTTTTCAGTCATTAAATTTGTGATAATTTGTTATAGTGGCCATGGGAAACTGATACATTCATCAAACATTTATTACTGCTGAGGGGGAGGTGCTGGGCAAGACTTGATTTACAAAGAACAGTAACCCATGCTGAGTGACCTGAGCAATTGGCTAATACTTCTGAAACTCAGCTCCTTCACCACCAAGTGGGGTGATTCCACATCATTTATAGGGCTCCTAGAAGGTTTAATAAAAATAATAGGAGGCCTGGCATTTATTGAATGTTTATTGTAAGCTAAATACATTATGTCATTGAATTTTTTAAATAACACTAAAAAGTAGGTACTACTTTTAACTTAGTTTTATAAATTGTATTCTATTGTGGAAAGGGGGAGTAAATAATGAGAAAAGTAAGGCTTAGAGATAGGTATCTAGCCCAAAGTCACTCCACAGCCAGGCTGGGATTTTAGCCAACCCCACAGAGTTAAAGTATTACTCTGAATACCAAACCTCACTCACAGCAAGCATTCACTCATTGTATGGTTCCTTTATCTTTCCCTCACTGTCATTAAGAACCTACTTTTTTTTTCCTCATAATTTATACCTTTATTTATCTTTAAGTGGTAGCTCCAAGGTTTACAATATACAGCTTTAATTTATCATAGGATATCTTTAAATAATATTATAGTACTTCACATAGAGTATAAGAAGTTTCTAAGAGTATTAAAGATGTGCTCTTTTGCCTTTGGGGCAAAAAGATGTTAACTAAGGCCATCTGAGGAAGGCTGGCTTACCGTGTGGGCTCAGCTGGGCACAGTGAGTACCCTGTGGAGAGGGAATGTACAGACTGCCAGAGTCCATGATTCCCAAGTACAGAGTTTGATGAAACCCAATAAGGCTCGGCCCAGGTCACCCAAAACCAGACCAGGAAGAAAAGAAATTGCAAGGGACCAGCTTGCCTTCTTCCTCAGTTGTTCCCACTTTCTCTTGGCTCCAAACACTCCAGAACATGGACTCCACTGGGGCACATCGCAGAGCTACAACATACTCCGTAAAAGCCTGCAGCCCTGTGAGGTTGTAGGTCTCATCTCTATCTATATCTTCTTTGGTGAAGTTGATTTCCATCTAAAAGACAGAGATAAACCTGAACTAGATGGGAGACCTCTTTTATCTTTCCATTTTTCCTCTCCATTCCTCAATCATTTCAGAACTAGAAGCACTGTACCTCGAGTTTTAAAAAATATAATATTCATAAATAAACTTCCACGCATGCCCAGGGATCATTTGTGCCTGAGCAGATGTGAGTCACCCCACGAACAACCACCCTCCTCAATTCCTCTCTCTACGCTTGGAAGGCAGAGGTCCCTGCCCCTGGGCTGGACGTGAATGAGTAGTCTTGTTGTTTTGGAAAATACAAGGTGGAGTCCTAGGACCCAGGCAACCCAGGTCTCAGTTTAAAAACAGCAGATGACTCCAACACCTAGATATAAGGCCTCACATAACAGTAGGCAACAGAGACATTACTTAGTGGCATCACATTCAAACTCAGGTCATGGATAAGACCTCAAAAGTTAAGTGACCATGGATTACCTCAGGGTTTGTTATGAGCAGAACTGAGATCAGAACACAGATTTCATCCCTCCTAGACCCTTTCCCTTTATCCAAATTTTCCACAGCAAATTATTGATCTTTGGGTGACCAGTAGGGCTGCCAAGGATCTCAGCAGCCTGGATGCATGCATTCATTTTGACATTCTTTTGTGGTATGGAGAGAGAGAGTTAAATAAATCACCTCTCCTTTCTAGACCTCAGTATCTTCACTAGTAAAATGAACACATTGCTTTATATAGTCTATAAAGTCCCTTTTGGATCCAATTTTCCAAGCAAAACTAAAAATTCAGAGACTTGTTTTTGAGCATGATCACTGTTGCTGCAATAAGAACTTTCAGCTGTTGGATTATATGAACTCATATTGAATTCATTAATAAACTGCACTAATGGGCATATCTATTTTGTGAGGATTCCCACTAGTCCCATAAAACCTTGTGAGAGAAGGAAGTTCTGACATTTCCCATATGTATATAACAGCTATGAAAATAAGCATAGAATGATAGGTGTTAGGCCTAAAGGAAACTGGGCAAAATGACAATGTGCATATGTGGCAAAAAGCTGAGCATCCCAGCTGCAAATGGACACTTGTGAGCTCCCAGCCTAGTAAGATGGTGCTGGGAAAAGGATGTAGGAGCCAAAGGTGAGGATTGTTTCATGCTGAATCCAAAGTTCCCTGAGCTCCCTCCTCCAGTCACCCTTGGAAATGTTGCAATGGCAGAACAGGGTCACTGGGACAACCCATCCTCTCCGGGAGAGTAACCTCTGCAGCTTAAGCCTAGTTATGGGGCCCAAGAGAAACCAGATTAAGATCTTTGGGAGAAAGGCAACCACATGGTGACTTCCATACATGAATCAAAATGAAAACCATATTAATCTACAAAATAAGTACAAGGGAGTCTAATAAAGTTCTGTTTTCCTTTTATGCTCTTTTAAATATATAATATTCTTTTAAAATGATCTTTTGAAGTTTTCTTCCTGCTTTACTAGCCTCCTCAAGCACATGCTTGGCTTGTGTGTTGGGGGTCCTCGCATTCATTCGCAGAAAGCTCTGTCTAATGTAACTATGCAAGAATGTTCTTTTCAGCTCTACCGCTAAAGCAAAAAAAAAAAAAAAAAAATTTCTGCTCAGTGTTTCAAACAGTGTGCCTGCCTGAAAGGCTTTTTTTAGTTTGGCTTTTTTGTCTAGGCAAGTGCATTTGGCCCTTACAGGGTCCAGAACAAACTGATCCTCCTTATATGGGCTTAACTAAAACTTTCCCAGCTCAACACAGACAACGGGCTCCTAATAAAACACTAATTAACTTCAGGTTTGTTTCTAACAATCTTTGGTACTTTGTGCCAAATCCTAGCTTGCCCAAAGTGTTTATGTTTTAAAAGATGAGTCAAAAGTGTTGGTACAAAGCCTAAGCCTAAATCAAACTCTCAAAACAGTCTTGAGATCTTTGGCAGAGTGTTTATATGGTTGAGACTTATACAGGCAGAAGCTCCTTAGAACAGGCAACAGGAAGATGGTCTGGAGGTTGCTAAAATATGGTCAAATGAGTGACAACCTAGGGTCAGATAACCTGGGCTCAGGTTTGCAACCTACAAAACTTGTAGTCTTGGACAGGTGATTTAAGCTCTCTACATCACAATTTCCTAATCTGTAAAAGGAAGAATAGTGATGCCTCATTGACAAGATAAATGCAAGGATTAAATAGTCTGGAGTATAAGAAAGCGTTTTTCAACCCGTATAGCATCATACAAATGTTAAGTCTTGCCATATGGCTGTATGGTTTTTGTTGTTGTTGTTGTTGTTGTTGTTGTTGTTGTTGTTTTACAGTCTAAAGCACAGAGAGATAACTTTAAATGACTGTGCTGAGGGTTAAGTGCAGTGACAGAGGAGGAGCACCTAGCTCAGGTTCTCAGAAGGAAATATGTCAGAACTGAGTTCTGAGACATGAACAGATTCAGCAAAGTTTGGGAAAGGGTGAGAGGTGCAAAAATGAGACAGAATAGTGAAACAACATGACATAAGGGAAACTAGCAATTTAGAACTACTAGAGAATCAAGGGCAGGATAATGATGAGGTTGGAAGGATTGATAAGCAGCAGGTCTTGGAGGGTTAAACATTTGGACCTTTTTCCATGGAAAGGTTGGGTTGGTGTAATTGCATTTAGAACTGATTTTGTCTGAAAACTGAAAGGAGAAAGACACTAAATACACATTCCACTTTCCCTCTCATTTCCTTCACAAGAGCAGGAGAGAGGACCTCTCATCTCAGGGACTGGAAGGAATAAAGCTAAGAAGAGTGCAGATGTAGGTGGGTTTGCCAAAGAAGTGGCCTAGAGGATGCTGTATGCTCCGGTAGTTTACACCTGCTGATCTCACTTAGTGTTGTGCATGGCTCAGTAATTTTCTAGAGGAACAGAGATCTTGGTTTATTTTTCCTGTTGAGTCCTATCTCAGCAGCCATAGGACTCTAGGCTCAGACAAAGAGAATAAACCCAAGGGCACACCACTCTAGCAAGTCCTCATGTTTACTTAGAATATAATATGTGATGTAAGGAAGATGAGTTTATGCTCTGCCAGGAATTGCCTTGTCTAGAAGTTCCCTTCTATGTTTCCCAAAACTACAAATTAATGAGTCTTATGTTACATGTAGTCTAGTACTAGTAGAATGATTCCAGAGCTGACATGGAAAGGAAGCTGAGAGGAGTGGACATCATTGTTTCTCTTGTGTTAAATACAAGACAAGTGAAACTTAACCAACTTTCTTTTCTGAAAGTGTTCTAGGTTAAGAGACAATGCAATAGATAAAGTATCTTTGAATTTCAGCAAAGGAGAATCTAGCAATAGTGTCATGGACAAGTTGGAAAAAGATGGGCTGAATGATTATAGTGGTAATTCATTATATTCACAGAAACCTGGATAAATGGCCACACTCAAAGAAAAAGAGGTTGATATCTCTGAGTAGTCTCTAATGTTTTGCCACAGGGCTCTGACATAGTCACAGATGGACAGATCTGTTTTTATTAACTATCAGATAAAGATATAGAAATAAGAGTGATCCAAGCCAAAAATATTACAAAGTTAGAAAGTAAAAAGTTAAATGTATGTCTTAGGTGATAAAATAAAGACTCTAAATTGGCTGAAATGATGGATATAACCAACATGAAGAAATACAACAAGAATAAATAAAACACCTACACTTACCTTAATAAACAAGTTATAAGATAGTAGACATGTGTTTTCCTAGAACATCTTGTGTGGGGGTAAAAAGTCCTGAAAATTTAACTGATTTAACTGGCTAGGAGATAATTAAGAGTCAATAATATTTAGTGGTTACAAAAAAACTTGATATAATTTCAGGTTGCATTGATGGAGATATGGGAATACCCTCTAAACTCTGAAGTTAGAAATGACTTAAGATATAAGACTTTATGGATAAAAGAAAAGATTGAGAAAATTTGATAATATTAAAATTAAGAAGTTCTGCTCCAAAATAACCATTAGAAGAGTTAAAAGGCAAACCACTAGTCAGAAGTGTTTGCAACACACATAACAAACAAAAAACTCATAATTAAATATATAAGAAACTCCTACAAGTCAATTTAAAACTCAGACCACCCACTAGAAAAAAACGTGCAAAAACTTAAATCAACATTTCACAAAGGAGGACTCCAAATAGCCAATAAACACCTGAGAAGGTAAATGAGCTCATTAAAAGTCAGGTAAATGCAAATTAAAGCCATGATTCCTCTGCGTTTATATAATGGAGTATTAAGCAACAATGAAAATATATAAACTCCAGGATTATATAACATGGAAGAATCTTAAAAGTGCAATATTGAAAGAAGCCAAATATTTACAAAACACAAAATATATGGATTCCCATTATGTAATGTCTCAAACTATGTTGTTTGGGGATGCAGGTTTAAATTGCCAACCCATAAGAAAAAGTGAAGAAGTATTTACCATGAAAAATCAAAACAAAAGCTCTAGGGACATATGGCGATTATCTTCAGGAAAGGACGGCCGGGGACCTTGGCATGCTATTTTGGACCTCACTGGTTTTTAACATAAGTGCTTACTTAATAATAATTTATTAAATGTAATATTTAGCTTTTGTTCACTTTTCTAAATATGTCATATATCACAATTTCATAAAAGTTTGAAAAAATAAAACAGGAAATGGCCAAGCTGTAGAATCTCTGGCCACCAACACATCTAGACATAAATCAGAGCAGAATGCAAAAGTAAATTTCTCACTTTTTAATAAGTGGTGCTTATTAAAGTGTGCTCAGAATGCAAGATGCCTACATTGAAACACTTATACATTCTAAAAGGCTGAAAAGGGAAACTGGGATGAAAAGTACTCACTATTGTCTGTCTTCCATTTTTAAGGTAGAAAATGGGGGGAGAAATGATTCAGGCTCAAAAAAAGGTTATCAATAATATTCTTCTCTGGGCCCTCTAATAGAAACATCATAATGGCATAACTTACCCAGTGGACACTATTTACTGTTCTGAATCGAAGAGTATATTTTAAAGTAGATGAAAGAGGAGCCAACACAGGCCTTATCCATTTTATTTGAAGCATTCGTTTGATGCCCAAAACTGATTGCACACTGAAAATCTCAGGTGGTTCAATTTTCACTGAAAATAAAAATCATCATAAATTTTCTCATATATGCAAAAAGATCAGAAAATGCTAGTAACATCCATCTAAAACTGAAAAAAAGAAAACTAGAAAGGAAATGATAATGCATATTTTGTAGCTGGCTATATGCAGATGGCGTTGGGAAGGCAGGGCAAAAGGAATGGTGCCACGCCTGTTTCTCCCACCCCTCCCCACCACCAAAAAAAGAATGGCCAGTGAGGAGAAGATACATTTCTATGACTTTTCTGCAAATGCACCTTTTACTGAGTGATTCAGATCTTATGCCAAGAAGAAAGGAGGTCAAAAGAAGAGATCACACAACTAGAAAATGGTCTGTTTCCCTTATCTCCACTCCCTTCAACCTCTCTTTCCTCAACCCCCAAAAGTGTCCAGTAGAAAGCATCTCTCACTTCCCTTGAATGTTACAAACATTATCACTCAAAATCTTTCTCTTTCAAAATACATAATATTTTTCTGGTTTTAAAAGTAGCATATGCTCATTCCAAAATCTTTTTTAAATATGGAAAAATACAAAGAAAATGTTTAAATTAGGGGTGCCTGGGTGGCTTAGTCGTTAAACATCTGCCTTTGGCTCAGGTCATGATCCCAGGTTCCTGTGAACAAGCCCTGCATCGGACTCCCTGCTTAGCAGGAAGCCTGCTCCTCCCTCTCCCATACCCTCTGCTTGTGTTCCCTCTCTTGCTGTGTTTCTTTCTATCAAATAAATAAATAAACCCTTAAAAAAAAAAAAAAGAAAGAAAAATTTAAATCCTCCATAATGCCATAAACCAGAGCCACTGTAATGTTCTGGTGTATTTCCAGGCTTTTTTCTATGTAAGTATTTGTGTATATATTTTTTTAAGATTTTATTTATTTATTTGACAGAGAGATCACAAGCAGGCAGAGAGGCAGGCAGAGAGAAAGGAGGAATCAGGCTCCCCGCTGAGCAGAGAGTCTGATGCGGGGCTCGATTCCAGGACCCTGAGATCATGACCTGAGCCAAAGACAGCAGCTTAACCCACTGAGCCACCCAGGAGCCCCTATTTGTGTATTTTTAAAACAAAATTAATATTATGTTAAATAAAACCATTGTCTTCTTAAATAACACTATTCAATCAGCATATATCCTCTTGCATTAGAAATTCTAAAAACAATGATTTTAACAAGATTGGAGGACATAAAATTAATATACAGAAATCTGTTGCACTTCTATACACTAGTAATGAAGTAGGAGAAAGACAAATTAAGAAAACAATCCCACTTGCAATTGCATCAAAAAGAATAAAATGCCTAGGAATACATATAAACAAAGAAGCGAAAGACCTGTACTTTGAAAACTACAAGACACTGATGAAAGAAATTGAAGACAAGACTAACAACTAAAAAGATATATCATGCTCATGGATTGGACGAATTACAATGTTCTAAACGCCCATACAACCCAAAGCAAAATACAGATTCAATGCAGTCCCTATCAAAATAACAACAACACTTTTCACAGAACTGGAAAAAATACTAAAATATGTATGGAACCACAAAAGACCCCAAATAATCAAATCAATCTTGAAAAAACAAGAATAAAGCTAAAGGTATCACAATCCAAGACTTCAAGCTATAGTAATCAAAACAATATAGCACAGGCATAAAAACAGACACATAGATCAGTGGAACAGAATAGAGAATCCAGAAAGAAACACAAACTTATATCATCTATTAATATATAACAAAGAAGGCAAGAAGATACAATGGGGAAAAGACAGTCTCTTCAATAAATGGCTGGGAAAACTAGACAGCTACATGCAAAAGAATGAAACTGGACCATTTTCTCACACCATGTACAAAAATAAACTCAACATGGGTTAAACACTTAAATGTGAGACCTGAAACCATAAAATTCCTAAAGAAAACAAAGCAATCTCTTGGACATTGGCCTTAGCAACATTTTTCTAGATACGTCTCTTCAGGCAAGGGAAATAAAAGCAAAAACAAACAAACTATTGGACTTCATCAAAATAAAAAGCTTTTGCACAGTGAAGAAAATCATCAACAAAATGAAAAAGCAATTTACTGAATGGGTAAAGACATTTGCAAATGATATATCCAATTACAGGCTAATACGCAAAATATATGAAGAACTCATACAACTCAAAACCAAAAAACACACACACAATTTGAATTTAAAAATGGGCAGAAGACCTGAATAGACATTTTCCAAAGATAAAAAGAAGACCAAAAGATACATGCAAAGATGCACAACATCACTCACAATTGGAGAAATGCAAATCAAAACCACAAAGAGATATCACCTCATACCAGTGAGAATGACTAGTATCAAAAAGACAAGAAATATCAAGCATTGGTGAGGATGTGGAGAGAAAGGAACCCTCATACATATCCACAACCCTTGGTATACCTACTATCTCCTTGAGCTTTGAGTTTACATCTCTTCTGAAAAAAGAGGGGAGGGGTTATCTTTTAATAATAGAGCATATACAAATAAAAAATGATACTTACTTATGGCATCTAAGTTCCAATGTGTTATATCAGAATTAATTGTACCATCTGCATTTTGAGCTTCCACTTGAATGGTGTAATTATCTGGGTTTGTTATTGTTGGAGGAAGAAAGGAGCAAGAAGCATGATTTCCCCTTGTAGAATTATCAGTTGGGCAAATATCACTTTTGTATCCATAAGAGCTTTGAAGGAAAAAGCATTCAACATGAATTTAGTAGTTTGGAAACAAAGCCATACTTAATATATTAAGCATGTATTTATTAGTTTCACTCTGGGTTTCTCTTAAGGACTATATCATCTCAAATATGATGCTCCTTTCTCCAAATTCCTTCCTCATCTCTTCCAAGGAGAGAACAAAGTTACCCGTTTCTTGCCTGAGATGTTATGAGCCATAGAGACTTCCTTGGAACACTGTTAAGTCCAGGAAAATCTATGCTTGTAATACATTTCCTATTGGTAAGAAATACTGACTAGGATCCTGAAAACACCAGATTCTAGCATTGAGAAATTATCCTTAAAAGAAAAATAAAATCAAAGAGGATTTGTTAAATAAACTATGATAGATACATAAATAGAATTAAAATAGTTTTTAATAAATCAAGTTACTGATATGGAAAGATGCCCATACTCCTATTGGTGGTGAAAGGGGAAAAAAAAGGATGTGTATTATGTACATAATAATCACATTTATATAAACATATATTTATGTAACCATTCTCAGAGATGTCTGAAAAGTATTCATCAAAATGTTAAAATTTTACCTCTGGTGGTGGAATTTCAAGTGATTTTTTTTTTTACACTCTTTATATTTTTCAGATAGAATTTTTATCACTGCCATATATTATTTTCAGAAAACTCATTAAATTTTTTTCCTGGGCATAAAGATAACTTAAGTCCTATCAAGCTATAACTTAATGAAGATAAGTACAAAGATTGGTAGGAATCCAATAGGTGGGTACAGACCTAGTCCCCATGGCTGGGGGATGATGATATAGGAGATGAAATAGGCAGGAAACATCCTACTTTGCAAGATGCCAATATTCGCTGGGGCTGGGCGCAATGGAGCAAAACGTAAATGTACAGAAGCACGGAATTTTGAAAGTAGAAAAGACTTTAAAGGCTTTCTACTATTGTTGAGCAGTGCAAAAACAGCCTCCAGAGTACTGTTGGGTCATGGTTCCAAGCACAAGCTCTGGAAGCCGACCAGGTTTGAATTCTGTGCCTTGGGTAAGTTTCCTAACCTCTCTGTGCCTGAGTTTTCTCATCTCTAAAATGAGAATAGTATTGTACCTATGACATAGCACTGTTATGAGGATGAAATGGGCTCATATGCATAAAGTTCTTTTAAAATGTCAGCCACGGGGCCCCCGCGTTGGGCTCTCTCCTCGGCAGGGAGCCTGCTTCCTCCTCTCTCTCTCTGCCTGCCTCTCTGCCTATTTGTGATCTCTGTCAAATAAAAATAAATAAATAAATAAAATAAAATGTCAGTCACTGGGTCTAACAGTGAAATGTTACTATCATTGTTATGAGTACTATCACTGTAGCTGAATATTTTTGCCTTTATTAATGCTGTAACCTCTAAAAAATAACCTTTCTTCCCTTTTCTGCGCCTCAAGGGCTCCTTCATACCTCAGTTCAAAAGTCACTCCCTCCCTGAAGGCATCCCAAGTCTCCTTATTCCTTCTCAAGGAAAAATCCATTCCTATCATTTCTGAGCATCAGTACGTTTTTGTTCACACCACTGACCCACCACCATCTATTCTCAGGGTTGACCATCCACAAGAAATGCTCCCATTCTACCTGGAAGAGATATTCTCAGTGATAAACTTACAAAACTACAAACCAGTCTGGGAGGCCTGGAGAGCCCAGCAGGCCTGGAGCCAACTACAGGGGTTGTATACAGACCTGAGAACACCCTGGTGTGAGGCACCATCTGACTTCAGCTCAGGTCAAGATCTCAGGCTCCTGGGACAGAGCCCCATGTTGAGCTCCCCGCTCAGCAGGGAGTCTGCTTGTCCCTTTCCTTCCCACCCCTGCCTCTACCTTGCCCTCCCCCTGCCCACGCTCTCTCTGTCTCTTTCTTAAATGAATAAATAAAATCTGAAGAAGAAAGGAAAAAAAAAAACATTCGTGTATATTTCCTACTTTTACAGGACCAATGGGTGAGAATAATGATAATCCATAGGGAGTGATGGAAGGAGGGAGGATGACTCCTTAAAAAAGAAAAATAGGGGTGGATCTGGGTGGCTCAGTGGGTTAACCCTCTGCCTTCAGCTCAGGTCATGATCCCACAGTCCTGGGATCGAGCCCCACATCAGGCTCTCTGCTCAGCAGGGAGCCTGCTTCCCCCTCTCTCTCTACCTGCCTCTCTGCCTACTTGTGATCTCTCTCTGTCAAATAAATAAATAAAATTAAATTTAAAAAAAAAAAAAAAGAAAAGAAAAGAAAAATAGGAGTACACTTGTTGAGGTTTCCAGATTTACATTCTACTGGTACTTTCTGTTCAACACCGGGCCTCGAACAAATAAGTCTGAGAGAAGGTAAGACACTTGGACCATGGATTAGTGGGCCTTTATCACTCTGATCTTCAGAAGCAGGACTCAGCAAACTAGGCCTGCTGACCAAATACAGCCCATCTCTTCTTCTTGTAAGGCACAGAGGCTAAGAACAGGTTTTACATTTTTAAGTGGTTGGGGAAAACACAGAAAAAGAAAAATACTTTGTGGTGTGTGAAAATTATATGAAATTCAAATTTCAGTGTTCACAGATTAAGTTTTATTGAACAGTCTGGTCCCTTGGTTTACATACTGTATCTGTGGCAGCTTTCCTGCAACGGTAGTAGTATTCAGTCGTTTCAAAGAGATCCAGTCTCCTCTAGGCCTAAAATATTTACTGTCTGTCCCTTCATAGGAAAAGTTTCCTGCCCTCTATTTTAAATCATCTCCCTGATATATCACGGATACATGAGTACTGCAAAGAATAGTGTTTGCTTTTTTCCTTTTCTTCTACTGCAAAGCATGAAGTAGACTTCCCTGATAACACTAGTTACCAATTTTCAAGGAGTGGGGGAAAAAAGAACATATATGAGATCTTGTATTTAAAAACAAAACAAAACAAAAAGTTGGAATTACAAGCTCTCTTTCTGAAATGGAAAAAGTTTAAAGATTATCTTTCAATATTTCCTAACATGGGTTTCCTTATTCTTAGGGAACATGAAGGAAATAAAGTGTTTCATGAGCTATTTTCAAAATTTCAAAAAATTCCCTGCACATAGTCACTAAAACATCTAGCTTTTGGCTAGGATTATAATAAAAATTTTCAAATTTTTATTCTAATAGGATTAGAATAAAAAGGGATGCTTGAGATAGTGAAAATTTTGGGAATCACTGTTCTGGTGGAATATTGTTTGACAGGGGTCACACAGCAAATTAGTGGCAGACTGAGAAAAGTGGTCTCCCAGTTATGGGTTTATAACCCCACTTACTATAACTGAGTTCATGAAGAAGGAACAGTTTTATGGCACATTCTGGAAAGAGGACAAATATAGCTGAATATAGTAAATAAACAGATTTTTTCACTGTGCTTATAACTGGTGACCGCTCTCAGCCAAGTCAGTTCCTCTCGGAGGAGGTCATCATGAAGCTACATCTTCCCCCTCCCACTGCTGCAGCTGCAGATACTGTCACATGGCTATAGCAGCCAAGATGTCACCCTAGACATTGAACACAAATAGGGGTCAACCAGAAGCTATAATGAAGAAAACCTTTCATTTCATAAGTGTCTCGAATCATGAATGACCTAGGAGCCTCTGCCTCCTTCCCTTACTCCCACTGATAAGCACACAAGCTCCCATACTTACTAAGTTCTCTTTACTTTGTACCATGTATAACTGGCTTCTTTCTCTGGACTCCAGGTGCAAGTAAAATTTTCCTCATAGTAAAAGACACACGAAATGTTCTCAGGCTTAGCAGGCAGAACTAGATAAACAAACAAATACATACATACATAAATATATAAATATGTATACACACACACACACACACACACACACACACACTGACACAATCATTTCATGAAAACAGGCAGGTCAAAAGCTGGTCTTTTTTGGTTAGTTGATACATACAATAGATTCTCCCATTCATGGCCAAGGAAAGAATCTAACTCCCTTTCTTCAATTATTTCCCTTGGAGAACTAGATTTCTACCTTTAAAAAAAATACTTTTTACATTCTTAATCAAAAGCAACACTTATTTGTGGAGCATAACAAATAGCATGGAGGACAAGGGGAGATGGAGAGGAGAAGGGAGTTGAGGGAAATTGGAAGGGGAGGTGAACCATGAGAGACTATGGACTCTGAAAAACAATCTGAGGGTTTTGAAGGGGCGGGGGGTGGGAGGTTGGGGGATCCAGGTGGTGGGTATTGGAGAGGGCACGGATTGCATGGAGCACTGGGTGTGGTGCAAAAATAATGAATACTGTTACACTGAAAATATAAAAAATTTTAAAAAATTGAGATACAAAAAAACAAAAACAAAAAACAAAACAAAACAAAACAAAACAAAACAAAAAAGCAACATTTGAAAAGCAAAAATCTTTAAAATGCCAGGCAAATATAAAGTGTTAGTAAAATACTAAGTAAAGCATCAAATGATGGAACCAGTCTGGGTAACTGGGCAATGGATGAAATGTGGAAAAGAGAAAAACACAAAGTGTTCAACTATGCCACACTTCAACCTTATGAGCAGATGCTTAACTGACTGAGCCACCCAGGTGCCCCTACAGATGTATCCCAACCTTGAAGCACCCATTAGTCATCAGTGCAGTCAGATTTTCTATCTTGTGCTGCCGGGAAGACGGCAGAGTAGGAGGACCCTAACCTCACCTCATTCCACAGATACTACTAGATAACATTCATATCAGTTTGAATATTCCAAAAAAGAACCAAAGACTAAAAGAACAAACCCCACAAACAAAGGTAGAGAAAAGGCAGAGATGATATTTGAGACCTAAGGGGATCATGGCCATCCACAAACAGGAGGGAGCTGAGAGTATAGTGAAGGCAAGAAACAATCACACTGGGGACTCAAAATGGGGAAAACAAGCCCCCATAACATTTGACTTTGAAAACAAGAGGGGCCTGATGTTGTGAGTTACAAACAGTAGGACTCGAAGCCTGGAATTCTTAAAATAAGGTGTTTGGCTCTAGAAGAGCTCTGTGGGCCTTAGGAAGCGGAGTCCTCACCCTTAAACAGACAGCATGACAAGAAGCCTGAGCAGATACAGTGGAGAACCAGCAGTTTGAAAACCACTGGGTGGCAGGGGCTCCTGTGTGGATCATTTGGTTGGGTATCTGCCTCTTAATATCAGCTCAGGTCATGATCCCAGAGTTGTAGGATCAAGCCCTGTGTCCGGCTCTGCACCCAGCACAGAGTCTGCTTCAGATTCCCTCTCTCCTTTTCCTCAGCCCCTCCCCTGACTTGCATACTCTATAAACAAACAACAATAAATAAATAAATAAAATCTTATTAAAAAAAAGAAAGACAGAAAATCACTGGTGGCAAATGGGAGAGAGAGTGATTTACTTATTACTGGGAGTGTCTTGGAGAGCTATGGATCTCAGAAAAACTCCTCCAGGATCAAAGGAGTTGGTATGCACCATTTCCCACCCCTGCCCCCCAGCATAAACACATAGCAATCTGTGGGAATCAGCACTTTCCCCACATTCCCTACTTAACTTGCTTGCCCTGAGTCCCCCACCCCATGCTTCAAAGTATCTGCCCTGTCCAGCCACACTTGCCTCAGCCCCAGCAATGCAGAGCTCTCCCACAGAAGATCAATACAAACCTCACCAGCATTGCCTCTCCCGACCTGTGCCTTTTGCAAAGCCTAGGTCTTGGTGGTAGCAGGCTCTGCAAAAGCCTGAGGCTTTATTAAAAGTGCAAGACCATCCCACATGCCCTTTACAGATCCACTTAGGCTGGCCAGTACCAACAGCAGCTCCAGGTCTCAATTAGCAAGCAAACCAGAATTTACCTTGTTTAAATACAAGCCACAGCTGCGGGGAACCAACTACTACACACAACAGGCAAAGAGAGTCACTGTAGACACTGAACTAAAGCAAAAAGAGACAAGAACATAAGACACATGCAACTTCCAGAGGAGAAACTCCCTGAAGGACTAGGTCCTGGGGAACAGGGGACATTGCAGTGCAGGGTACTTCAGGACCTCTTCTTCCTAAAGTCATTACCTTCAAGAGCAGGAGACACAGCTGACTTATCTTGCATACAAAACAGACACAGACAGTTACCAAAAAATGAGATGACAGAGAAATATATCCAAGTGAAAGAATAGGACCAAACCAGAGCAAGAGATCTAAGCAAAAGAGACATAAGTAATATGCCTGATAGAGAATTTAAAGAATGATCATAAAGATACTCACTGGACTGCAGAAAAGGATAGAGGACATCAGTAAGACATTTAACAAAGAGATAAAAACAAATCAGAGATAAAGACCACGACAGATGAAATTAAAAATACACTTGATAGAATAAGTAGCAGGCTAAATGAAACAGAGAAATCATGACCTAGAAGACAGGGTAATAGACAGTAACCAAACTGAGCAAATGAGGGGGGGAAATTATGAAAATTGAGAACAGTCTGAGGGAACTCAGTGACTCCATCAAGTATGAAAACACATTATAGCAAGTCCAGAGGAAGAAAAGAGAGGGGGCAAAACATTTATCTGAAGAAATAAGAGCTGAAAACTTCCAAGAGACACAGAGTGCCCTTTGCAGATCCAAGAGGCACAGAGACCCTCATGGAACATTCTTCAGGCCACAAGACAAGTCTCAAAAAATTCAAAAAGATTGGAATCATAGATAGCATTCATTTTTTTCTGACCACAACACTATGAAACCAGAAGTCAACCACAGGAAAAAATCTGGAAAGACCACAAATTCACAGAGGTTAAACAAGATGCTACTAAACAATGAATGAGTCAAAAAAGAAATCAAAAGTAGAAATAAAAGATTCCCTGGTGGGGCGCCTGGGTGGCTCAGTGGGTTAAGCCACTGCCTTCAACTTGGGTCATGATCTCAGGGTCCTGGGATTGAGCCCCGCATCGGGCTCTCTGCTCAGCAGGGAGACTACTTTCCCTCTCTCTCTCTCTGCTTGCCTCTCTGCTTTCTTGTGATTTCTCTCTCTGTCAAATAAATAAAATCTTAAAAAAAAAAAAAAGATTCCCTGGAAACAAATGAAAATGAAAAGAGAATGGTTCAAATCTTTGGGACTTAGCAAAAGTGGTTCAAGAGGGAAGTTTATAGGAATATACACTTACTTCAAGAAGCAAAATACTCAAATAAACAACCTAACCTTATACCCAAAAGAGCTAGAAAAGAACAACAAACAAAACCACAAACCAGCAGAAGGAAAGAAATAATAAAGATTAGAACAGAAATAAATGATGTAGAAACTAAAAAACAATAGAACAGATCAATGACCAGGAGCTGGTTCTTTGAAAAGATCAAAAAAAATTGATAAACCTCTAGCCAGACTCATTAAAAAGAGAGAGATAGGGTCCAACTAAACAAAATCACAAATATAAAAGTGGAAATAACAACCAGAAAGACAAACAAATGTAAGAGAATGCTGTGAAAAATTACATGACCCAAAATGGACAACCTAGAAAAAATGGATAAATTCCTAGAAATATAAAACTACCAAAACTAAAGCAGGAAGAAATAGAAAATCTGAACAGATCCATTACTAGAAAGGAAATTGAGTCAGTACTCAATAAATTCCCAACAAACAAAAGTTCAGGACCAGACAGCTTCACAGGCAAATTCTACCAAACATATAAAGAAGATTTAATACCTATTCTTTGAAAACTATTCCAAAAAATAAAAGAGGAAGGAAAATTTCTAAATTCATTCCATGAAGCCAGCATTATCCTGATACCAAAACCAGATGAAGACTCCACCAAAAAAGAAAACTACAAGCCAATATCTCTGATGAATATAGATCCAAAAATCCTTAGCAAAACACCAGGAAACTGGTGTTTTAATGATACATTAAAAGAAGTTGTTCACCATGGTCAAGTGGGATTTATTCTAGGGTTGCAAGGGTAGTTCAATATTCTCAAATCAATCAGTGTGATATATCACACCTATAAAACAAATTATAAAAACCAAATGATCATTTCAATAGATGCAGAAAAACCATTTAACAAAGTATAACCCATTCATTTAAAAAAAAAAAAAAAAAACAACCCTCAACAAAATAGGGATAGAGGGAACATACCCCAATATAACAAAGGCCTTATATGAAAAACCCACAGCTGGGGTGCCTGGGTGGCTCAGTTGGTTAAATGTCTTCCTTCTGCTCAGGTCATGATCCCAGGGTCCTAGGATCCAGCCCCATGTCAGGCTATCTGTTCAGCAGGGAACCTCCTTTTCCCACTCTCTCTGCCCCTCTGCCTGCTTGTGCTTGCTCTCCGTCTCTCTCAAATTTTAAAAATCTTTAAAAAAAAAGAAAGTAAAACCTGCAGCCAACATCATAGTAATGAGAAAAAACTGAAAGCATTTCCCCCAAGATCAGGAATAAGACAAGGATGTCCACTCTCACCACTTTTATTCAACATAGTACTGGAAGTCCTAGCCACAGCAAGCAGACAACAAAAAGAAATAAAAGGCATCCAAATTGGTAAGGAAGAAGCAAAACTTTCACTATTTGCAGATGACGTGATACTATATATAGAAAATGCTTAAGACTACAGCAAAAAACTAGTGGAACTGATAAATGAATTCATTAAAGTCTCAGGATACAAAATCAACATACAGAAATCTGTTGCATTTAATATATTTAATAATGCTACTTTTATTTAATAATGCTACTAATAGTGAAGTAGCAGAAAGAGAAATTAAGAAAGCAATTCCATTTACAATTGCACCAAAAATAATGAAGTACCTAGGAATAAATTTAACCAAAGAGATGAAAGACCTATACTCTGAAAACTATAAGACATTGATGGAAGAAATTGAAGATGACACAAAGAAATGGAAAGATGTTCTATGCTTATAGACTAGAGGAAAAAAATACTACTCAAAGCAATATACACATTTAATGCAATCCCTAACAAAATACCAGCAGTATTTTTCACAGAACTAGAACAAACAACCCTAAAATTTGTATGGAACCACAAAGACCCCAAAGGGTCAAAGCAGTTTTGTTTGAAAAAGAAAAACAAAGCTGGAAGCATCACAATTTCATACTTCTAGTTATACTACAAAGTTGCAGTAATCAAAACTGTATAGTACTAGCACAAAAATCAGAATAGAATAGAAAACCTAGAGATAAATCCACAATTATGTGGTCCATTATTCTTCAACAAAGCAGGAACAAATACCCAATGAGACAAAGATAGTCTCTTCAACAAATGGTGTTGGAATAACTAGACAAAAATATGCAAAAGAGTGAAACTGGACCACTTTCTTACACCATACACAAAAATAAATTCAAAATGGATGAAAGACCTAAATGAACCTGAAACCATAAAAATCCTAGGAGATAGACAGGTAGTAATTTCTCCAACATCGGCTGTAGCAACAGTTTTCTAAATATAGGTCCTGAAGCAAGGGAAATAAAAGCAAAAACAAACTATTGGGACTTCACCAAAATAAAATGCTTCTGCATAGCAAAGAAAACAAGCAACAAAACCAAAAGACAACCAAGGGGATGGAGAAGATATTTGTAAACGACATCTCTGATAAAGGGTTATTACCCAAAATATATAAAGAGCTGACATAACTCACAAAAAAACCCCCAAATAATCCAATTTAAAAATGAACAAAAGACATACAGATATGTCTCCAAAGAAGACATCTGGATGGCCAACCAACACATGAAGAGATGCTCAACTTCACTCATCATCACACCTGTCAGAGGGTTAAAATCAAAACCACAAAAAAGTGTTAAGTTTTGGTAAGGAATTTGGTAAGGAATTTGGAGAAAAATGAACCCTCTTTGTTGGTGGAAATGTAAACTGGGAATGCCACTGTGGAAAATAGTATGGAGTTTCCTCAGTAAGTTAAAAATAGAACTACCCTACAATCCAGTAATCACACTATGAGGCATTTACCCCCAAAAATACAAAACACTAATTCAAAAGTATACATGCACCCCTATGTTTATTGCAGCATTATTTATAATAGTCAAGATATGAGAGCAGTCCAAGTGTCCAATGATAGATGAATGGATAAGGAAGATGTTACACACACACACACACACACACACACACAAACACACACAATGGAATATTATTCAACCATAAGAAAGAATGAAATCTTGTCGTTTGCAACAACATGGATGGAGCTAGAGAGTATAATGTTAAGCAAAGTAAGTCAGAGAAAGGCAAATACCATATGCTTTCACTCATATGTGGAATTTAAGAACAAAACAAATGAGCAAAAGGGAAAAAAGAGAGAGGCAAACCAAGAAACAAACTCTTAGAAAATAAACTAATGGTTCTAGGGAGGAGGTAGACAGGGGATGGGTGAAATAGGTGATGGGGTTTAAGGAGAGAATTATGATGAACACTGGGTGATGTATTGATGTGTTGAATCACTATACTGTTCCCCTGAAACTAATATAACACTGTATGTTAAGTACATTGGAATTAAATTAAAACAATTTTTTAAAAATTCCAGATTAACAAATTCCACACTTTACAACTGCCAGCAGGAATATGCAAAACCCAACAAGGTGGTGAACCAAAGGTCAGCGCATAATATCCCCAGAGGAACAACCTTCACACTTAGCAACTCTCTGCCTCCATGACTCAGAGATGATGGCAGTGGGCTCATGTGTGTGTGTGTATTTACACATGGGTTGGTCTTTAGTCCTTTGGACAAGTTTGTTTGTTTATTTATTTATTTTTTAAAGATTTTATTTTATTTGACAGAGAGAGAGATCACAAGTAGAGAGAGAGAGAGAGAGAGGAGGAAGCAGGCTCGCTGCCTAGCAGAGAGCCCGATGCGGGACTCAATCCCAGGACCCTGAGATCATGACCCGAGCTAAAGGCAGAGGCTTAACCCACTGAGCCACCCAGGCAGCCCCTGTTTGTTTATTTTTAATATTCATTGAATATTAGCTTGCCCCTTACTTCACTTCACACATTTCACTTAATACCCATCACACCAACTGTTAGCAGGATTTCAAAGTTAAGCCTTTGTTGGAGAACAAGGAAACAAGAAGTTTTTTCTTGTATCCCCGGAATATTCTTTCATCTTGTGTTATTCTCATTCTGGCCTCCTATAGTCATATTTTATTTCTTTTTCATTCTTACTTTGTCTTGCATTGGCTGAATTCAGAACCAGCCACAAAAACCAAGGTAGAAACAGATCCTTATGGATCCAAACACACCCTGGTAAAAACTCAGTGTCTTTACTTTCCCAGTCTTCCCTGAATACCTCCCTTCACTCCTTCAGAAGCTGTAATTAACATATATAAGAGCCATAAGTCAGAAAAGGAATCAAGTATCTGGCTCCCAGAATCAGAACCATCTGGTTCCCCAGGTATCAGGAAAAGAGAAAATGGTTTTAAAAATGATTTTCCAGGGGTGCCTGGGGGCTCAGTCATTAAGCATCTGCCTTGACTCAGGTCATGACCCCAGGGTCCTGGGATACAGTCCCACATCAAGTCCTGCATCAAACAAACAAACAACAAAATAAAACAAAACAAAACAAAACAAAAACCAGTTTATTAATGCTTGCAGTGCATATCATTCAGGAGAAACCTCAATGAAAAGCAATTAGAAGAGGTGGTTAGATCTTGGGCTCACATAGCATCTTAATAAAAATACAATAAATTTGTGCAGACCAGACAAGACAAAGGAAAACGAATTTAGCTTTCCGAGAGTAGGAAACTACAAGAAGGTAAATACGTGTGGGAAACTAATGCAGCAGGCTTCATTTTTGCATCTGTTGATTCTCCTCTGCCTCCACAACAAAATAATCCCATGTCAAAGTAGCGTATTTTGGAATGGAATATTTTAATCCCTTACTCTAATATTATAGAACACATTTGTGATAAATAAAATGTACATTCAGTAGTATTTCTAGTGCTCATCAATATCTCCCCTTCTTGGACATGCAGCAAGATCTTACGTTCTTGTCCCCTTGAAATTAGGCATGGCCATGTGAGAGGATCATTTAAGTTGTGGTGCATCATTCTCCTTTCTCTTCTTCCTCTGTTCCTGCACACCCTGCAAATCCATGCTGAGATGATAGCATCTTAGGGTGGCAGAGCCTTCGTCACCCTGGGCTCCTGCTTACCTCTAATGGACATACAGAGTTTGCTGTTTTAAACACTGAGATATGGGGCTTGCTTATTCTTGCAGCATAAACAACTTTCCCTGACTAATGTAAAAAATAGACAGTCTGCTCTGAAAATCCAGGATTCTAAGACTTGGGAGAAGAATTCATTTTATCAGTAGTTTTCTCTCTTCATGTGTTCTCATGACCTTAATACTCTAGAGTACTTGCCAGTACTCTTGGGTCTTTATAAAACTCCTAAGCACCACAGGTATATCCCAGGGGGCTACAAGGCAGTCCATGCCAGAGGAGAGGTCTGGAAGATGTTATCTGTGAGTTACGACTGCCTCTTGGTCACCCCAATTACTACATGTTACAGTTTCAATTATATATGCTCAAATTCATATGTTGAAGCCCCAACCCCCACTGCCTCAGAAAGTGACTCTAATTTGGAGATAAGGTTTTTAAGGTTTTAGTTACCATTGAGACCATAAGGTTTTAGTTACCATTGAGACCATTAGTTACCGTTAAGTTACCATTAAGGTAGGCCCTAATACAATCCAGCTGGTGTTCTTATAAGAGAAGGAGATTAAGACACACAGAGGGATGACCATACAAAGAGGAAACAAGAAGAATGCTATTTATGCCCCAAGGAGAGAGGTGTCAGGAAATCAACTCCATGGGCACCTTGATCTTGGACTTCCAGCCTCCAGGACTATGAAAAAATATATTTCTGCTGTTTAAGCTACTCAATGTGTAGTAATGAGAGCCCTAGCAAACTGATACATGACATGATGCCTTCTCTACATTCCCAGTACCCAATCCCCACTTTTCCTCTCTGGTCCTAATTCTTCTAAATATAAGATGCAATCAAAGTAATGGATAATAAATCTGCAAGGCCCATAGTCTTAAGTTGTCCCATAGTCTTACGTTGGAACATTGTAAGATATGTTATGTCATCATTTCCCTTTATATCCTTGGAAATTATTGAAAATACTGTGGTTATATATTTTTGTTTTTATGTTGTGTTTTACATGAAATTACTGTTCCTATCATAAAAACTATTGAGATAAGAACTTACTACCACTCTAACACAGTGGATCTTGGCCTTTTGGGGGTCATATCTTCCTCTTAAACTATGATAGGCCATCTTGCCAAAGTTGCACACACATATGTATACATCAACATGCACGCACCCATCCACAGAAATTCAGGGAGTTCACAAATCCCCTGTTGTTCATCCACATATGCCCAAGGTCCAGGAGTCCCTTTGCACTCCAATTCACAGTTCTTGTCCAAAGAATTTAGTAAGAATCATATAATCCATAAAAGGGCACCTGTCAACCTACCTGCCAGGCTGAATTTGCAGAGTAGAAGGAGCAGCCACAGCGCCCACACCCCCATCATCCCCAAGTTAATGCAGGCAGGCTGAGGAGAGAACTGAAAACGTCATCAGTCAGGATTTCCTATCTCTTTTAAATAACTCTATTTCCAGCGACAAACAGATTCTGGGGGTTTTAAGGGAGAGTCTTTGTTTTTTGTTTTTTGTTTTTTCCTGACTTTCTTTTTAATTTATATTTTTGGCTCTCATCGCATGGACCCCTTCACAATTTCTTCATCGGCCCCAGTCAACATTTAATTTACCCAAAATTCATTCCACTATGTAACACGAAAAGTACACCAGCCACCAAGAAAAAAAGTACTGCGAGTTGTATAGATCAGAGACCATCATGTCTGCCTCAGGCCTGAGGCACCGCAGCCAGATGGAACGACTCCTAATTTCTGGAAAGTGCCATGATATTTCACATCCCCATGCTTTGCTCATGTGGTTCCTTCTGCCTACAATGTCCTTTCCCCCTCATTCTTTGCAAATGCCACGTCCACTGTAGCACATGTCACACAGAATGATGTTTAGCACTTTACTTGTTGGCTTCTGTACACAGAGCTTCTGCCTAGGGAAGCTCTTCTTACTCCTTTCTAAAGTCTAAGTATTTAAGCACCTACTGGTACGTGATAGACATACAATATTGTTAACAGAATCAATTAGAACAAAAAGGCTGCTGACTCTATGTCTCATCCCACAAAGAGATGGTGGGATAATCTAAGGATAAAGCAAATGTAAAAGTAATCACTCATTTCTGGAAGAAATAAAGGACTCCACATGTCATCTGACAGATCATTATAGGAAAAAAGAAAAAGATTTCTCAACAAAAGAAATCATTTGAGAAAAATTCACATGCATCATTTCTGGAGAAAACCACCAGGTTAAAATTTTCTCATATACAAACCAATTGAAATATCTTACTAACTGAAAATGCCCAAAGCAATAAAGCAGAATGAGAACTTGGGTCTGTAATGGTAAAAATACTATCAGGAAACAATAAGAGACTGGTTACATAATGGCAATACTAACTACCTGTTACTCAATAGCAGTAGTTACTCTTTCAGGAAATTACCATTTTAATTTAAATGAGCACAAAACAAAGAGAAATTTTAAAATTTTTAAATGAAGAGTAAGTGTGTTCTTCAAAATTAGTTGTAACACTAATGGCGTTTGTCAGTGCCTAACTATTCAGAACATTGTCTTAATTTTCTCCATTTCTTACCTAGAAGACATGCCTTTATACTAGTCCTAAAATCATTCTGGAAATCATTCTGGAAAGGGAAGGAGGCCCTACCATGAAAACTGTATAAAAACTATGATGCTCAAATTCTCAATAAATGAATAATTATGGATGTGAAAACTAAAATTATTATTCTGACAAGGGATTTTAATTTAAAGAAATTATCAGTATTAACTATTGAATAAAACATTTTACAATTAATGATTACTGCTTGCCTCCTTTAAAATGAGAATACTCATCTATTATTTGTGAATTTAAAAAATCCTTCTCAAAAAATCATCAGTACTAAATCACACTCAGAGACAAAACTAGAAAAAATTGCAGTAGTTGCAGAGAGGGCCATTCTAGAAGTTGACACTGCCCAAGTGCTCTAATCCTGGCACCCCCTTGACTCATCTGGTGATCTCAAGTATTCTCTTATTCACTCATCAGTGTCCCAGCCACATTAGGTGTTTAGAATAAAAGATGATCCTGTCTCCAACCTCACTCTAGTTCAGTGGTTTTTAACAAGGAGAAGGGAGTCAGAAGATGGAGAGGATACCAAAGTGAACCACTGTAACTAATGGCTCCATATCAATTATCCCTCCAAATGGGTTTGAGAAGGAAAAAGAGTTGAGAACCATGATCTACTTGCAGAGACAGAAGCATGGATACTAATAGCAAATATCACATTAAGTGCAACAAGTGTGCAGAGCATCTGTGAGAAATGAGCCAATGACTATGGAAAGCTAACAAGTGGTGATGAATAATGATGCCCCTCATTCCACCACTTCCCTGGCCCTCCAGTGCTTCTTCCACTTCCCTTCACACACCAGAGGACCATCACAATGTGACTGCTTATGGGTAGTAAACAGGAACTAATCTGAGGTGCCTCTAAGGAACTTAGAAATAAGTTCAAATGGGAGTTCAACTAGCAAAATCAGTGCACAAAAGCCATCCTAGTTATCTGTGGGAGTAAATCAGGGGGTAAATATGCAGTTGTAGAGTTTGAGTTCACTCTAAACTCTGGCCAAGGAAATCTGGGCATAATCTCAGACAGGTGGATCTGGAAAATAATTATCATCATTTAGTTGCAGGAAACTACTTGACTGATTATATCTTAAATGAAAGGAGACTTTGAGGACCCAAAGGACAGGTCCCCTCAGACTTTCAAATGTTGACGGTTAAAAAAAGGAGAAGTTGGCAGAATTTATCCAGTACTATCTCCTGGAGGAAATGATGAAATTTCCTGGTACTGGAGTGATATACTCCAAAACAGGGAAACCCATCAGACCTAATCACAGTCTTGATGATAGAAAACTCAAAACCAAAATCTTCACCATGGCTGTGATGCTGTGAAGCCTTCTTTGATAATTAAGGGAGAAGACCGTGAACAAGAGACTTGAGTCATTAGAAAGACTACCCTCAGGGTGCCTGGGTGGCTTAGTCAGTTAGCAACTGACTCTTGGTTTCGGCTCTGGTAATGATCTCAGGGTTGTGAGAGGGAGCCCTGAGCCAGGCTCCATGCTCAGCAGGGAATCTGCTTGAGGATTCTCTCCCTCTGCCCCTCGCCCTACTCAGGCTCACTCCCATACTCACTCTCGCTCTCTCTTTTTAAAATAAACGTTTAAAGAAAAGAATCCTCCCCACTCTCTTTGAGCACAGTAAAGGTGTCCCCTGTTCTCAGGAAAGTAGTCATATCCTTAGTGCCTCTTCTGATAAGAAAATTAGAATTCATAGTTTAAAATCGGGGAAAACTCCGAAGGAATTTTGTGTCCATCCCTCCTTCATTAGTGAAGCTACTTTGACATAAGATGGACTTTGTGCATCTTCTGATTGCCCTGTAAAGATGTGGAATATGAAGACTACAGAATGTTCAAATAACTTTAAAGCCCTGGGCAGAGCTACAGGGACAGGTACCATGGTCAACAATGTGATGCTGCTTCCTAAAACCCAGAGTACTTTGTGGCATGCGCCAGATGAAATAACAGTGGTCACCATGACCTTGCATTGGCAGATTGTCAGAAGCTTCAGCTCTTTGAGAGAGGTGGTGGTGAATTTGCTTGCTGCGCCCTCCCCCTCCATGGTGAATGGATATACTGTGTCAGGGAGGACTTTGTGCTCTACCGTATTAGCACAGTCACTGGCAAACTGCAGAGAACTTTCTTTCATGAAAAAGGTGTGATTGGGTGCCTGGGTGGCTCAGTGGGTTAAGCCGCTGCCTTTGGCTCAGGTCATGATCTCGGGATCCTGGGATTGAGTCCCGCATCGGGCTCTCTGCTCAGCGGGGAGCCTCCTTCCCTCTCTCTCTCTCTCTGCCTGCCTCTCCGTCTACTTGTGATCTCTCTCTGTCAAATAAATAAATAAAATCCTTAAAAAAAAAAGAAAGAAAAAGGTGTGATTGGTATCCCACATCACCCTCATCCAAACCTACTGCTACCTATAGTGAGGATGGACTCCTAAAGCTCTGGAGACCCTAATTCCACTTTTCTTTTAAAGAGCATGTATTTAAGTGAAGACATATTCATGTATTGCTTTTTTTTTTCTTTTTGGCTACCTTTTCTCAACAATTATCTGAATTTAGGCACAAGAATAATCTTTTGAAAATTCATGTTCAGAAAAAAAAACAAAAACAAAAACAAAAATGAGTAATTCAGCCTCCCTAAATCTGAGCAATTCTGGGGCGTAGAAAGACTCTGGGCTCTAGAAAATTCACAAAGATTATGCCATGCTGTGGGGGAAATCAAATCATTTCCTGAATTCCCCAGGTCATCAGCCCTAACTTCTAAATGTAGCAGTTTTGAACAACTGTCTTCAGTAAAAAGTCACTTCCTGAAATATAATTTCTCATTAGTGGGACCTCATTTGAATACAGCATTTAATGGAGATGCCCAGAATTCTCAAACACCACTACGAATATTCCACACATTGGACTAAAGGACTCTTAGAATACACAGTGATGCCACTTAAGTAACCTGTGGTATCTTATCTTTAAAGTGTAAACCCAATAGTAGCTACTGTTATGAGAAGAAGGATTGAAAACAAATCCAAGCAATTACTGCTGACTATGCACAGTGCCTGTGGATAGACAAGAAGCAGGGAAAAAAAAGGAGGAGATGCTTCATCTTCCAGTTTCTCTTTAAAATGTTAGCATGTGAAGATGGCAGAGAAGTAGCAGGCTGAGATGATATCAGGTAGCAGGAAATCAGCTAGATTATCAAACCATTCTGAACACCTACAAATCCAACAGGAGATCAAAGAGAAGAGGAGCAGCAATTCTAGAAGCAGAAAATTGACCACTTTCTGAAAGGTAGGACCTGTGGAGAAGTGAATTCAAAGAGACAGGAAGATGGACCGTGCGGGGAGGGGCCAGCTCCCAGCAAGCAGCGGAGCAATGGAGCACAAAATCAGAACTTTTAAAAGTCTGCTCCACTGATAGACATTGCTCCAGAGTCTAAGCCAGGGTGAAGCCCATGTGGGGACAGCATTGACCCAGGTTCCACAGGGTCACAGAAGGATCGGGGGTGTCTGAGTGTTGCGGAGCTTGCAGGTATTAGAGCGGGGAAGCCGGCTACAGAGACAGAGCCAAGGAGTGAGCTCTCAACTCGGGGTTACCTTAAACTGTGATCTGTGGCACAGTCAGACCAATGCTCTGTGAGCAGAGACACCACAAGATCCAGGGAGACCCCCCTGGAAGAGCGCAGGAATCTGCTAGGTTTGGAGACTCTAGGTGGGGCTGTATGCCAGAGACAGAGATGCTTGGTCACAGGCTAGGTGAGCTCTGAGCGCAGCCAGAGGCCAGGGAGACAGGAGTGATTGAACGCTTTTCTCTGAGAG